GGTGGCTACTGTGGCTGCGGCTGGGACGGGGTCTGGGAAGGCCAGGTCTGGGCTCTTCCAGTTGTCAGCTTCTCCTTGACAGCTCTGCTCTCTTGGTTGTTTTCGTGGAACACTGGTGGGGTAGCTGAAACTAGGAGACACAGTTCGTCCCGGGCTTTGCTTGGCATTAGTTCTGAGACCTTGGGCAAGACTTACCCTCTGGAGCCTCAGTGTCCTCCCAGTAAATTGGGGCTGTTATGAGGATCAGATACAATAATGGAAGGAAAAGAGCTGAGTGGTCTGTGGAAAACAAATCAAATGCTAGTGGTGCTTCAACACCTGCAGAGAGAGGTGCCATTACCCACCCACCATAACCCATGTACTCACTACTTGTGGGATCTCCTAAGATAAAGCTAGCTTAAGAAGGAGTGGATTTAATAAGGGCATGGGTCTTAGTGAATGTGCATTTGTTTTTGGTGAAGCCAGGCAGAGGTTTAGGGTGGAAAGTGCCCAGCCCAGGGCCTGGCTGACAGTGGACCCAGGGGAATTGTTTTGTTTGTTTGTTTCAATATGCATCTAGAGTGAGTCATTGCCACTTGTCAAGGTGAAATGGCAAATCTGGGCTTCCTGTGGTTCCAAAAGTCTGAGACTGGAAATCCACAAGCGAGATGGTGGTTGAAGTTGGTTCAAGGACAGCCTTAGGTATTCCACAAGTGTAGAAGGATCTCTTCTAAGGGGGAAGAGGAGAAGGTTTATAAATAAACCTCACATGTGTCTTCAGCATTCTTTTCCCAAGGAGACAATCACTGAACTTTAGCTAAGACCAATTTAGTGTATCTCTCTTTTCCCATCATAAATTAGGATGGGGAGAGGAGGAAGTAGGTTCTTTCATCTTTTTTCTATCCTCTCCCTTCCCTTATCTCCTTCCCCCACCCTCACTCACTCACATGCACACATTAACCTTGAAGCTGATGAGATTGAGTGACTGGCACTTGGGACCACAGAGAAATGTCAGAGTGTTTGGTTACAGACTCAAGGAAACCTCTCATTTTAGAGTGCTCATTTGGTAAGACTCAGCAGCCTGGAATGGGGGCAAAGTGTTTGTGTGGGGGAAGGAACTTAAAAATCAGATTCACCCACATCAGGGTGCTGTCTTGCATGTTCTACAGCACGTAGGCTGATTTGGAACAGGGATAGGAATTTGAGCCAGGAGACGTAGGGCTGGGCCACTCACCATCTATGTGGCCCAAAATGACCTCCCTGGCCTCAGGCCCCTTTACCTGGGAAAATAGTGCTAAAGGACTACACTTTAAAAAAGACAGGGCAGGGGTGGGGTGGGGTGGGGGTTCAAATATTGCTTGGTTTGCAGCCCACGTATGATCATAAATGAGAGTCTTTCACCTTTGCTTTGAATTATTTTGTTTTAGAGAACCCAGTTTGGAGAGGGTCCATATTTCCTGAGTGCTCCCTGACCAGTTCTCCGCAAAACTATGCAGTTAAATCTTTGACCAGCAGGGGGAAGCACAAACTTGGAAGTTTGTAGCAAACTATCTGGTCTTAGACCCAGGGAGGGATGAGAGGAAATTTTGAAAGAGAAGGCAAAGATTCTCGAGAAAAGAGTAGATAAGCCATTTCAGGTTGTATTCTGCAGATTTCTTATTTCATCTTACGTGTTTAGGACAGTCTGGAAATACTGCCTGGCTGTTTGTTCTGAGCAAGCCACTTGAACCTGAGTCTCAGTTTTGTCACCAATGAAACAGGGATAAAGATATTGACCCTGTCAGGTTTTGGAATCATTCTAAGACTTGAAAGATAACATTTTAGCAGGTTTTGAAAAGCTGCCAGAGTTTTTAGACCCCTGTAGGATCACTCTCATTAATACTGAAAGAATTACTTTTCTTATTTTTTCTTTCCTGTAAACTCAAGGGCCTTTGGATGGCATACATTTTTTACTTTGAGAGAGGAAATAAGTGTGTATAGGTATATGTAATTAGTGTATGAAATTGTATTCCCAGTACTCAGGGTAAAAACATTATTATCGCATTGCTTCGGGTGCCTGTTGTTTCCATGAGCGCCAAGCTGGAAAAAAATGTTTGCTAGCTTGTGGTAAAACTGCACCAGCTGGCAAGCTGTAGCTATCAAAGTAAAACTAAGTATGTGTGTCCTAAAATAAGACTATAGTGGACAATCTTACATTCATTAAATCAATTTCTGTTTGCCTTTTCTCTTCCCTGCAGGTTTTAAGCAAAATTTTGGACTGTGAATCAAGGCATTGGGTAAGTACATTGAATTATGTGCTTTAAAAAGTTGTGGACAGATTGGTTCTTTTGAATTTGCCACTGCACATGTTTCTGTGAATGGTGCCACTTTTCATTAGATTAGATAAAGGAGAACAAATTCCCTCTCCATCACACCCAGCCCTTACCCCTTTGCCGTGCATTCAACAATCTTAATATTGTTGTGTGAACTTGTTTCGTGGTTCACGTTAATTTGGCACCTGCTATGCACCAGCATGTGCTAGGTGCTTAAGGTACATGTAGACAATTCTGAAGGCAAATAGAGGAGAGAGAAATGGTGGCTGGGATCATGAAATGAGATACTGATGAGAATAGCTGAGTTTTTTTTAAGCTTTTTTTTTTTTTTGGTGGGGAGGTAATTAGGTTTATTTGTTTGTTTGTTTGTTTGTTTTAATGGAGGTACTAGGGATTGAACCCAGGACCTCATGCATGCTAAGCATGCTCTACCACTGAGCTATACCCACCACCACCTCCCCACTCCCACCCCAAATAGCTGAGATTTATGAGCATCTACTATGGACCAAGCATGAAGCTCTGATTTTTACAGCCACGTAGGAATCACTACTCCCAATTTGGGAAACCAAAGCCCAGAAACAGTAAAACAATCTGCTCCAAGTTACACAGCCTGCAACAGGTATGGCCAATGTGCTAACCTTCAAAGCATAGCTTCTCTCCCCGGTCACACATTCACTGCCTCCCAGTGCCGGCAGAGTGTTTGGTATGTGGGAAAAACATTCAACAGATCTCCATTTCCTTCGCCTTTCCCCTGTAGGGCTTTCTGTTCCAACTTGTTGGATAAAGATTGTTCTCTTGATTTTCATACGTGAAGAGTCATGCCCAGAGAAGGGCCATGAGTTGTTTGAAGCACAAACACGAGGGAGCAGACCAGACCATCTGCTATCACACTCCTGGTAAGAAGGAAACAGATTCTGGAGGACTAACGGGATTTTGACCTTTTCTTTCAGGTGAAGAAAAAATGGCCTCGCCGGCTGACAGCTGTATCCAGTTTACCCGCCACGCCAGTGATGTCCTTCTCAACCTTAATCGCCTCCGGAGCCGTGACATCCTGACTGATGTTGTCATAGTGGTGAGCCGGGAGCAGTTTAGAGCCCATAAGACAGTCCTCATGGCCTGCAGGTGAGGGGTCTGGAAGGGAAAGGTGGAAGATGGGTACGAGGCGGGTGGTGGTGCTGGCTGCCGGTTCTCAGCATCCGGGCCTCTTGCTGTGTGAGGGGCCGAGTCTCATTTGTCCCCAGATCTCTAGCACATGGCCTGGCAGAGTGGGTTCCCAGGAAGCAAATACACAAACACACTTTTAGAAAAGAGTTTCTGTTCTATGGGAACAGAACAAGAAGAGATCATACACTGGCTCCACAAAAGGTGTGTTTGGGAGCAAATGTGGAGAATAACCTCAGTGAACCAGTGGAAAAATGAAACGTGAAAGAGTTTTCAAATGTTTTAAGCAAGTTTATTTGAAATTTTTTGCTCTTTTATTCTGTGATGGTATTACTTTTTATCACGACTACATTTTCATGGGTGTTGCTGAGCATATGTAAGTTGGTGAATGTGAGCTGGCTAATCCCTCATATTTGTCAAGTATTTCGAGTGTTCAGGGCAGTTTTATGTTACATCACCTCCCTGGATCTTCATAGCGGCCTGTGTTATGGGTGACACATGATTAGCTCCATTTTATAGATGATAAAAATGAAAACATGCATAGGGAAACTGAGGTGGAGTCAAGGGTCTTGATTGCCCGTAGAGAACTTATTCAACATCTACAACAAGCACTTCTTTTTTTAATAGCAGAGAGAAAAATATTAGAGTGCTAACGGTGTGCCATGCATCATTCTAAGCCCTTTACATCTTCATTCTTGCCATAGCTCTGAAGGCAGACATCTGTCACTGCTTAGCAGATAAGGAAACCGAGGTGCAGAGAAGTTAAATATCTTATCCGAGGTTGCACAGCTACTCCCTGGGTCAAGTCTGACCCACTTCTGGCAATATGCTCAGAAAGAATAGACGCGAGATGACAGCCCAGAACTCCGGCCTCCAACTGAGTGCTCTTCCCTCTACCAAACACGCAGTATCTGGAGGCATGACTTGATGTTTACTTGGCTCTCCTAGAAAGACTGACCTTGTGATAGTCTGTGGACTTTCGGAAAATCAGTAGACTGCAGGTGTAGGTGTCACTTTACTTGTCGTCAATACCCAACTCACTTCTTAAAAAATACAATAGGATTTTTAAAATAAGGATAACGTGATGGAACAAGAAGGGAAATGCTTATTTCAAAGATAGAGACTAAGCATAGTTACTGCAAATGAGTGTTAAATTTAACTCTGGCCATCTATGCAGTTAAGACCAAAAGGGATACACGTTCTATGACTGTGAGAAAAAGCACTTCACCTCTCCGATCTTAGTCTCACCCATTTATAAAGAAAGAGAAGGATAGAATCTACCTGGCAAGGTTGTGAGGAACCCAGGATAGTGTATGTAAAGTGCTTAATGACTCTGGCATTTAGTAAACTCTCCACAAAGGGCAGCTATTATTAATTGCTATGGAAGTTCTAGGGCTTGGTCCAGGGCAGAGGGGCTGAGCATTGATGCTGACAGTAGTTGATGACAGTTTCTATATGTCTGTCATGGTGAGACGTTTCTTTGTTTTACAGTGGCCTCTTCTACAGCATCTTCACAGACCAGTTGAAATGCAACCTTAGTGTGATCAATCTGGATCCCGAGATCAACCCAGAGGGGTTCTGCATCCTCCTGGACTTCATGTACACTTCCCGGCTCAACCTGAGGGAGGGCAACATCATGGCCGTGATGGCCACGGCGATGTACCTGCAGATGGAGCATGTCGTGGACACTTGCCGGAAGTTTATCAAGGCCAGGTAAGCTGCCACCCAGATGGAAGCCTTGGAATTGGAAGGGGCCAGAAGAGATGAGAAACTGTTGATAACGCACATGTGCAGAAAAAATAATCCTCTGTGATATGCCACAACCTCCCTTTCCACTATTTTTGCACAGTCCCCTTGTCCAGATGTGCCGTGTGCATCCCCACTGCTGGCTTCCTCCCCTTCCCCCACCCCGATCCTGCAAGCCACGTTTGGATGCCAGCTCCTCTGTAGATCTTTGTGCAGTTATCACTTAGGTCTTTCCTCAGCTCTTCAGCTGTGTCTCAGAGCCTTCTGCCTGTCCTTTAGACCCGGCTTCTGTCTGAACTATTTGCATGCATGTTTTAGATCTCCTTCAGGCTTCCCGTGTAACTATTTACATATGTGCCTTAGTTCCCCCGCCAGCCTGTGGGTTGCTTTACTCATCTTTTCTGTCATCCTGTTCCTACGAAAGAGGATGTTTATGGTATTAAATTGGGGTCATGGGGTGTAACTCCCTACCTGAAGGCTGGTAAGACATGACCCTCATTGAAAAGTAGGGAACCTGATAGCCAAAGAAGGCAAGAGCTTTACTAAGTGGAACAGA